CATCGTGATTTCGCCCAGTGGGTAACTGAAGCGTGCCTCAGCTACCTAAATCCTCCGATGAGAGTTCGGCAAATGAGGGATACAAAGAAACGTAGAACGCAAAATTCCACCTGCTCAAAAATGCTACTTCTAACAGATTCGTTGCATCTGAAACGTCTCGCGTATCTACGCTCAACTTGACTGTCACGAAGCTGTACCGACAGGTACACCAGAAGCGTGGTTTCTCACACAAATCATTACAAAACAATACAAAATATTAGCTTAACATTTTTACACTTTTCAATTCTTTCTCTCGGTTTAATAAAATGCTACGTTTTACAGTTTTCACTTGAATAAAATTTTGTTTGTTAAAAAAAACCTCACCGGTAGGACAAGGGAAATTTATTATCAGCTTCTCAACCAAACAGTGCATAAACGAATTGAGTTGATTGACAGTGCTAAATGAAGTGCTCGTACTCGGATTTGTTAGAATTGTGACAACTTTATATAATATTATCACAATAAAATCTATTGGTGGTGATGAGAGGAACTAATCTGATAGTAAATGCTTTGTGGACTCAAGTAGTTCTATAGGTTTGTTCTGCGGCTGGGGGAGAGTAAGCTGAAAGCAATCGTTGAAGAGGGACGTAAACAGGAAAAGTTGAGCAAGAAGAATGCTGTGTGCGGCAAAATCCCAGCAGCTCCCTTTTCTTTTCAATTCATTTAGTCGATGTTGTTCACCAACATTCTCGTTTACTGTCCGATTGAACAATCCGCAGAGATGAATGGATTTACAAATACGCATGAACGATGATAGTAGGATGTGTCCGACTGCGCGTATGAAGTGAGATAACTGTCGCATGACCACACAAGTACACGACAAAAGTGGTGAACGTTTGATTGCATAGGGAGTGAAGCACAAACAGAGGAAACAGGGGACCTGATGCTTCATCACAGAAATCAGTATTTTGAGTAATTGACNNNAGTGAAGTCACCATGCTACAAAATCATCATCATCGTGTCTCCGAAATCCTCAGCATGGTGGGGGCGGGTATGTGACTGGTTGTGACTGGTCACTCTTCCTTTGCACCTCACGAAATGCTCCTATACGACCAAGCGTTTCGAATGGCCTCTGATGAGGAAGCCCTACTCCCTGCCCTCTCGTGGCGGAGGTGATTTCCCACCAAAGTGAAAGGACGAAAAGCTGACATCCGGGGTTATGGCCGAGTTGGTGGACCAATGGTAGTGCACCTAGGGGAGTCGGCCCAAAACCCCGATTCCAAACTGAATAAGAGAAGGCGTAGGAAACACACCCACACATTTCCATTTGTCGCAGTGGTCACAGGCTCGACAGGGTATCGAAGTGTATTGGGCACCTTGGACGTTTGAGCCCATCCGAAGGGCGTATGCTCCGATGAACTGGACACCGACCCCCAAAAGATTGCGGTTTTCACATCGGTCCGCCGCATTGTGGGTCAGGCTTTGGCTAGTCGAAGGTTCCAATTGTGGATTCCTCAAGATAGTTCACTTGTCTTGGCTGGGAAATCTGGCAGTATTCAGCCCACAAGCCAACCATGGAACATTTTTCTTTTTTATAAGGATTATTGTACTCTGATTTCAAAACAACAGCATGGCGTGTTCGCATCTCGTTGAGTCAGATCACTCGGTGAATGTGGCAGACGCGTTCCGACCGATTTACAAGGTTCGATGCAGGCAATCAAAAGAAGTGAAGCATCGTATCTTATTCACGGCCAAAGCCGTATGCATTCGGATTCACAAACCCCCCTTGTGCGCCCAGAAGAAATTTGTGCAAGCACTTAATCTCCCCTGGCCCACTTAAGCCATTTCAACGTGTGCAATCACTTGAACCTTTGACACTGTGATCAATTTTCACACAAACACACACGCATGATTGGAGCCACAACTGAAACATTAGGACTCGAATTTCCCATCCCCTGTTTCGTTTCTTATCGTTAGTCATATTTAATGTTATGTAACGGCATGATTAGGAATAACTGAAAACGAGCTTGTTCGCCACGCTGTTGTTTTGAATGTGTCCTCTGGGATTATTGAAACGACTGTACTCTGACTTGTTTGGCACACAGTCTGGTCTCAGATAAGTGATATATATATATATATATATATCGTGTATATCGTGGTACAGCGAAATACAGTGAGGCAAATTTCAGTGATCACTGCCCAAACTCGCAATGCATACAACGTTAGTGGTACAATTTAAGGTGGATAGGGACTGGAGCTATTTTGAGGGAGGGGGAAGAAGGTAAAACTCTATGGTCAACACACAGACAGTGCACAATCGAACTATGCACACATACCGCTTCAAGTATTCTAAGCTCATAAGAAACGACAGCAAGAACGCCACTGCTGTCGGTTCACTGGCACATCCTTCAATGTCTCCAACCAACCGGTTGTGGAGTCCTTCGGACCCCAACCTGGAAGGCGCAAGACGCCTACCCTACCTAATGGGTCTGTGCATTTCT